TATAACTTAGATTCTTGAATTATTCTTCCCAGTATTAATTTTACTCCACCAAACTATAGTTCATTGCGTTAGCTATCCAACTCTTCGAACAACACCTTAATCTGAGCGCTAGAACTAAAGTTATGACCATTTTAAGATTTCCAGCTTGGACAACCAATTCTGCACACTCCCATCGCCTGACGATGCTACCATCACCATCTACTTCGCTCGACGATACTAGAGGCGGTGCACTCCAGAAACTAGTTTCAATCTGCCTTCCTTCGCCTCCCACCTTCACCTAGCGACGCATCTTCGCCTGACGACATTCCCTTTGTCGCTCAACGACACAGCGCGAACAGGGTTTTACTGTTGCGATTTATGCACTGCACCAGTCCAAGTCTTCTATGATTTCATCATATTATAGGTCCTAAAACACCATCTAATTACATGGTTTCATCATCTATCGACAACCTATAATTCTATACTCATTATACATAAATTATAAGTCATTATCCATCACCAATTCATCAATTTCTCATCAAACAATATCAAATCACCATCTACCAAAACCTAAGGCAATCTACCAATCATATAAACCTTAAATCAAATATAATAACAATGATAAAATTCCCCTTACCTTAAGATTATTTCTAGATATCAATTCCTCTTCGTGCTCTACCGGGATTCCTATGCTCTTCTTGCCTCTTTGTGCCCTAGCTCTCTTTTCTCCACAACGTTCTTCCAAATTCTATCATACAAAATGAGCGTGTAAAATCCCAAACCTTCTCCTTATACCAAAATTACCCTCTTAGACCCCTAATAATGAACTTACCATCATGTCCTCACTTATTCCTCACTAATGACCACAATGCCCTTATTTTCTCTACATTACATATTATCCTATTTATTTAAATTCAAATAATTCTAAATAATCACTATTAAATCTAAATAATTCTAAGTTAACTATTTAAATTACAAACACTCTTTTTATCCCATACTACACCATACAATTCATCATCTTAACCATCTTATTCATCAAGTCATTACTATTGCATCACATATGCATCACGAATACACATCATATACCGTCACATAGACTAACACAAAGCACCAAAATATCATATATACCAAACACTTCACAGAGACTCATATATTTATACTAAATTAATTAAATAAATAATTAATCTAGAATTCATGGTGTTACATGGATATCCTTCAATTTGTTGACGACACGCTTATGGTGGGTAATGGTTATTAGAAACATGTTTGGTCCCTTAAAGAAATTCTGAGAGGTTTCGAGGTTGTCTCGGGTTTAGGGTTCAATTATCATAAAAGAAACTTAATTGGAATTAATTTGAGTCCTCATTTCCTTAATGCGGAAGTGAATTTCCGATCTTGTAAGGTGGAAGATAGTGTTTTTTCTTTCCTTGGGATTTAGATAGGTTTTGATCCTAGGCGTATTTTGTCATAGAGATGTTTAGTTAACAAGATTAAGTTGAGGCTCGCTTGTTGGACTGGAATATTTCTCAACTTAGGAGGCATAATTACTTTACTTAAGTCAGTTCTTAGTAGTCTTTCCATTTTTCAGCTGTCTTTTTATAGAGCTATGGTCTCGATTTGTAAAGAAATTGCTTCAATTCAAAGTAAGTTTCTTTGGGGAAGATTGGATGAGAGAAGGCGTGTCCATTGGGTAGGATGGCAGAAGGTGTGTTTTCCAATCAAAAAAGGAGGTTTAGGTTTGAGAAGGATAAAAGAGATCAACATGGATTTGTTATTGAAATGGAAGTGGAGGATTTTACAAGGCGATGAGTCTTTGTGGATTAATATTTTTAGGGTGAGATACGACCACTTAAACTGTCACATTCTATCTAACGGTTGCTCTAGTAAATGAGGAATTAAGTCGTCATGGTGGAAGGACATTATTCGGATGGAAAAGAGGAATCATGTTGACATTTTTAGTGCCAATTGCACGTTCAGGTTAGGAGCTGTTAAAGATATCCCGTTTTGGCACACAACCTGGCCCAACAACTTAATTATTAAAACTGAGTTTCCAGACTTATTCACATTGAGTTCTATTAAAAGTGCTTCTATAGTAGATTTTGGAGCCTAGCACGCAGAGGGTTGGGTCTGGGGGGATTTCGGCATTTCAGGGGATGTTTCTTTTGGCGTTAACATGCGGTTGCAGGGTCTGAGAGATGTTTTGTGAGAAGTGGTTTTGTCCAGTTCAGGAGCAGATTCTACTGTGGGGAATCCGCATGTGATAGAGGTTTATAAGGTCAATTCGAATATGATTTGTTGTCATATTTGCAGGTTCAGCCGGAAACACGGTCTGTTAGAGATAAGGCGTTTCTCCTTTTGTGGAAAGCTTCAGTTTTGTTCAGTATTAAGGCCTTCGGATGGATATCGCTTCTTAATAGAATTGCGTTTAAGGATTAATTGTTTACCATATGTTATTTCTTCTCCTTCTAACCTTAGATGTGCTCTTTGTTCTTTGGAGGATGAAAGTTTGAATAATCTTTTGTTGTTCATTTAGATAACAAATTATTCGTTTCCTCTAAATTTTTCTATCGGATTTTTTAATCAGACAAGAGTACGAGAAATTAACTTGCCGCCCCCACATTATACATGGAATCCCACAAATGGTATGAAAACACCAAATTGTCCATACCTAAATCATTCACCACAAATTCCAAATTCACGTTGCCAACCGGATTTTTCAAATTTTTGGGTGATACCGGAAATTTTGAAGGCGATACCAGAAATTTTGCGAACAAGTGAGAATTTATGGTAGATTTGTGAAATTTCCGGTATTTTGTACCAGAAATTTCAAAATATCTGGTATTTTCGTACCAGAAATTCAAAATATCTGGTATTTTCATTTATCATTTATACCGGAAACTTTGAAATTTCTGGTGCGTCACAGAATACCTGAAATTTTGAAATTTCCGGTAGTTCAATTTTTTTTGGAAAAATACCAGAAATTTCTGGTAGTTTATATTTTTCCTGATTTTTTTATTTTGCAGTGAGGGCCAGAGGCAAAAATGGTTCTATTGCGGAACAAACCACTGATAGAGCTGATGATGAAGCCCGTGCTGACGAGGCATATGCTTCAGAGCTACGGGCTAGACGCCGTCCCCCGACCGGTTCTCGCTGGAAATAGATAGCTGAAGAGAATGTGCAGTTTCGTGCACCCTGTTGTTGGGGCTTTAGAGTATCCACTACTTAGGAGGTACATGCTCCTACAGAGGAAGTACATGCTCCTACTGAGGAGGTACATGCTCATGTTCCTATTGTGGAGTCGGTAGCTGAGGAGTATATTGTGGAGCCTGTGGTGCAGGAGGCTGAGCAGGAGGTTGTTACTGAGCGAGTTGATGAGGTGTCCCCCGCTGATACAGCCACCACGAATCGTGCGTTTGCAAACCCATCAGTACACAATGATGGAGATTTCCCTGGAGGACCCTCAGACATGTCTGTGCTGACAGGACTTGCGAACCATGTCACTTATAGGATATGGCATGGCGAGGTATATATTTTTGGTTTTGTTTAATTGCATAATTTTTATTTTTGCTTACAAGATTTGATGTGATGTATAATAACTTGTTTTTTCTTCTTACAACAGAGTCTAGTGTTGAAGGTCGTTTCTCATGTGGTTTAGCTAGGTTAGTCGATGTAGTCTGTGGAGGGCCTATGTAGATTTATTTTATTTTGGTTGTATTATATGTATATTTTGTGACAAACAAACTTCTTATTTATTGCATAATATTTTGGTGAAAACATAGAATAGTACAACAAACATAAAACAATACAACAAACATAAACCAAAAACAACTAAACAAGAAAACCTAGGAGCTACCAGATGATTCTGGATGTTTCAGACACTTCATTATGTTGTCGATGGATCTTCGAATATGCGCATCCAACTCGATCATACCTTTAGTTATCCTACGGCGAAATGATTTTCACATGGCCTTCACATCTTCATCATTCTTCAACTCGGTTAGGTCGTATTTCACCATTCCATTTGTATCAATCCAATCCTCCCAAAACTCTATCTTTGTCACCCTTCTGTTATCGGAATCAGACAACAAATTATTCAAAGTTTCTTTCAAGGTGGCAAAGGATTCAAAGCCATTTAGAAGCTTGAATTCAACAAGAGGGTTGTTGTCGTTGTAATACATCTCTGCCTTAATCAGAAATTGAGGAAGAGACATTTTTTTGAGATGTATTTCTCTATAACAAATGCCTCTATTTATATAAATGATTATGCATTCTAGACCACACAAATGTGTCGGTGCAATCAGAACCATCAGAATATATCGGCAAAATCTCAGCCGTTCAAAAAACCATGTTTTTATTACTACCTAAAATTTCAATTAATTTGAAATTTCCGTATACCAGAAATTTTAAATACACTATCAGAAATTCACGATACTGGAAATTTCGTAGGAGTGTACCAAAAATTTGGGTGGTATCGAAAATTTTGGTGGTACCAGAAATTTCAAATCCTTCTACCAAGAAATTTCGTTTGAAAATTGTGTTCAACTCATTCAAAAATAAAAGTGGAATAAAGAAAATTGAAAAATATCATGTATAATTTTAAAGGTGGCGTGTTAATTTCTCCAAGAGTACCCCTAGTACTCTTTTAATATATCCTGCTTAAAATAAAAGAAATTTTTTTTCTTTATATATAATTCTAGAGGACGGGTTATATAGTTAACCTTATTACTTTTTAATTTGAATAACACATGAAGAAACAATCCACTTAATTTTCAGACATGTTCAACCCCAATTTATTTTCCTACATCTTGACACAAATCATTACGATTATCACCAATATAAATATATACAAAAAAAACTACATATTTATAAATATCATCAACATTCAACATCATAACTAAAATGGAATTTTTCAATAAATCAATAACCGTGAAACTACGCAGCCGCCTAGGCAAGTACCTAGTAGCAGACTCAGAGAACAACAACCTCCGTCAAAGAAAAAAAGGAACCTCCAAAACCGCACTATGCTTAATCGAACCAGTCGAAAACAAACCCCACCACATTCGATTTCGGAGCCACAACGACCGCTACCTAACCGCCACAGACACGCCGTTTCTCCTCGGCATGATCGGAGACAAAGTCATTCAAGCCTAATACGACAAAGGTTTAAGCTGGAAATACGAATGGGAGCCGATAAAGGAAGGGTACAACATGAAACTTAGGATCTGGTGTTGGAAATTACTGAAAGGGAACGGTGGAACACCGCCGTGGAGAAACTCTATTACGCACGATGATCTGTATACTGCTGCTACTTATAATTGAGTTCTTTGGGGTGTTGAGGCTGTGGATAATAAGATGAATGTTGAGTTGTTGAATAGAGTTAGTTTTGTTTCGAATTCTTCTTTTGGTTCTGAGGAAGATAAACTTCGCGATTCTGAATCCATTTCTTCTCAGAAGAAGCCTTGGTCTTCGTTGAAGATTCGTCGGAATTCAAAGTTGCAGCCAGAGGTGCGTGTTTAAGTTTTAACATTCTTTTTTACCCTCGTTAATATTTTTTAATTGCTCCAAAAATAAATAAAATACTCTATCAAAACATTTTCATATGTTTCTTTCTCACAAGGAATTATAATGATTATTATATTTAGTGTTTCAAGCAAATTGATTCCCGTAACAATTGTTAATATAGTTAGCTACACCCACATAATCGTTATCCAACACTAGTACTATAATCATCGTTATTATCATTATAAATCGATGAACCTAAAATCACTAATCACTCCAACCACGATTTTGAACACATAAGCCACCAATAGAAACCACCATTGACAACCACAACAATAGACAATGACTCATAACCATCACTAACTGACATTCGGACCACCATTAATTCATTACTCTAACTACCACCAATCACCATTTATAACAATATCTAATTAATCATTATTAACAATTACTATTACATGGATATATTACATATTTATAATATTTTAGTTATTTTAAAAACTTAATGCTATAAATTATGAAAATTCTTAGTAGGGATGATAATGGACAAAGTTTAGGCATAGTACTATAGTACGACTGTCTTCATATCTGCGGTTTGAAAAAAATCTCCATGTTTAAATTCAAATTCGCATGGGTACTAATGTTTATATCTATATCTATATCATGTGTGTATCTAAATACTCATATTCATGTCCGTTTACTCGCGTTTATAGTAAAATTAAAATCAATTAATTATAAATATCATATAATTTAAATTTATTTTAATAATATTAAAAATTTATAGATGTTATTGTTGAGTTAAGAAATAAATAAATATTTTTACTAAAATATTAATAATCTAATGGCGATATATTTATAAAAAATTATAAACATGTATTTTTATATAACAATATAAATGACATTATATAAATATGTAGTGCGGGTATGGGGTGGGATGAATAGTAAGGTACCCATGCCTGCACCCGTGTCTGCTTATTTTAATGGATAATTACTCGTGCCCGTATCCGTATCCATTTTGCGGGTTTTGACCTCACCTGTTATGAATATTTTTTGCGGATATCTATAGGGTATTTGCCAAATTATCATCTCTAATTTTTAAATACTCATGATAAGTAGTTGGGTGCTGATGCCTTTAATGAAAATTGATTAAAATATTAATTTAGTGTTAAATAAAATAAATATAAAAAGTGACATGACATTAAAATGTAATTTTTTAATTGGATATGAGTATCAGTACCTAACTCAATTTAAAGGTATCAAAGTGTTAGGGATTATAGGAGTCTGTTATGTGATGGAAACAAGTACTTATTTGGGCTTACCCTCAATCATAGGAAGAAGTAAAGCGGCTACCTTCACTTTCATTAAAGATCGAATATGGAAAAAAATTAACTTGTGGCAAGGAAGATCTTTATCTAAAGCAGGAAATAGGTGATGATAGAATTCTTCCTTCAATCCATTTCGTCCTATATTATGAGTATCTTTGTTATCCTTGATGCGGTGGTGAGTGATATTGAGAAGATGCTGCTGAACTCATTTTAGTGGGGGTAAATGTAGTAATAATAGAGGTATAAGGTGGATGACGTGTGAGAGGCTAACTTTGTCAAAGAATGAAGGAGGTTTGAGATTTAGAGATTTCAAGGCTTTTAATATTGCTATGGTGGCTAAATAAGGATGACCCTTAATAACAAAACCAAAAACGGTAGTCAGAATTTTCAAAGTAAGGTATTATCCTAGATCTTCTTATCTTAAAGTTAATCAGGGTAATAACCTGAGTTATGTCAGGAGGAATCTTTGGAAATCGAGGAATGTTTTGTCTATTGGGTGCAGATGGAGTATTCGCGATAGGAGTAAAATAAAAGTGATGAATGAACCTTGGCTTAGAAGGACGAAGGAAAGGTGTTTGAACGGACCTAAAGTGCAAGGTGTGTATGATTTTACAGTTAATGTTACCTAATGTTAAACATTGCGATGTTTAGAAAATAAGACATTTGTTTGATGCTGTAGAGGCGGGGAAGAGATCTTCAAAGTCCATCAGCTAGATGATGTTGTAGTAAATAAGTTAATTATGAAAGAAGAGCATAATGGTAACTATAATTCCAGATCGAGATATAGGTTGTGGATGAGGTTTCAGTCGAATCAGAATAATATCAACGTGGAAGGAAATCGGTGTAGTCTTTGGGAAATAGTTGCACCACCTAAAGCTAGACATCTTTTACGTAGGATTTGTAGGGATTGCTTACCGACGCGTACTAGACTTCAACAATATTATGTCCTGTGTCCCTCAAACTGTCAGCTTTGTGAGAATATGGATAAAGATGATTGGATGTGTTCTTTAACTGTAATAGTACTAAACATTGTTGGGGGGCAACAAGTTTTTTATCTGTTTTAGAACCCCGTTTAAATCACTTTATTGATGCTAAATCAATTCTTCTTGATATTTGGTAGTGTGATACGGTCGGAGAACTGACTTGAGGTTTTGCATTTCGTCACAAATGTCACGGTTTAGCAAGAGTCGCCACCGACTTTTATTTTATCCAAAAGGAAAGGTAAAAAAGCACAAGAAAGACCTTTGAGATGTTTTATTGAGTTCGGGGGGTAGATTATGAAAAGGGAAGGTGCTAGCACCCTTTTCATCCATGGTTTTCCATGGGCTCTTAGTTACTTGCTTAGATCACTTGCTTTGCTTTTGAAATTGCTTGAAATGGTGCTTTGTGTTTGGTGTGATTTTGAAAGTATTTTGAAAAGAGGCCTTTCGTTTAGGCAATCTTTGTAATGATTCTCGTTCGTAAGAATGTATACAAAGATGTTTGTCTTTTGAAAAATGTTTCAATGTTTTGAAAGATGTTTGGAAATGTTTTGAAGTGTGTGTGTTTGTTTTTGAAAATAGCAATGATTGTTTGGAAGAGAGCAAGTAACTAGGAGCTATCTACCCTACTCAAATGTATTTCCTATGCATTTTTATTCCTTTGACATTGTTGATTTACCATTGATTTGGTAAACAACCCTATCTTTGGATGTTAAACGGGACGGGCGTGGGTCATCGTATGACCATGATAGCAATGTTGCCAAGTATCTTAGCATGTTTGAGGGACCAAGATCATTTTGTTTTAGGCAACCTTTTGATAACGTCATCGAGGGACTATGATCTTGTTTTGTTTTGTTTTGCCAAGATACTTCGCATGCGTAACATGGTCATTTAAATTTAGGCAACCAAGTGGGTGAAACCCTAAGGGTGCTTGTGTGCAATATGTGTCATTTTTCATGCATTTGATTTGTCTTGGATTAGGTCTTTTCTATTTGTTTGTTTTTGGTCTTATCATGCAAAACCCTAATTTACTACACATGGTATAAATGCGATAAATTGCGTAAATGTAAACTAAGCTATTACAACAATTATTATGGGAGGGGGGATACAAGTTTTTGAATGGGGATATTGCATAAAATAAACCCTAAAAATACTATTACAACCCAATTGAATATTTGTGCTTTAAATAAATGAACAAGTATTTAAATATGCAATGCAATGTATTTATGCAAAAAAAAAATGTTTTGTATTTGATTTTTGTATGAGAAAATTATTTATGCAAACCCTAGAAAAAGGGAAAAATAACAGTATTATTTTTGAAAGGGTGAAACCCTAGTTTTTTGATTAAAAAGAAAATAATGTTTTCTATTATTTATTTTGTCCATTTTTGTACAAGAAAATAATAAATAATATTATATGTCAATATTAAAAATTAAATATTTATGAGAAAATAAATATTTTATGTGTAAAATAATAAAATAAAAATGTATAATATTTATTAAATGTATTTACAATTATTTAAGAAAATAAAGTCCATTATCCTAATAAGCTGTTTTCTATGTAAAAATAATAATAAGAAAATAAAATAAAATGCAAAAAATGAAGAAAATATTTTTCATGATTTTTTATCACTCAGAAAAATAAATAAAGCAATAAATATAAAAATGAAAAGAAAATATAAAAAATATACAAAATAAAGCCAGGGGGTGCAAATATCAAGTCAGAGGGTGTAAAAATAAAAAACAACAAGCCCAAGGCGCCAAAGGCCCAAGACAGTCGTCCCTGTCCTCCAGCTTCCTCCCTGCGCGCGTTTTTGCTTCAAATTTGTATCTTGCTATTGCTTGCATAAAAACAAAAACCCATAACATAAAACATGTAGCTTGTAATCTCACGATTCCAATGATATCAAATTTGTAACCTAGGTCCCAAGGTACTTTGCAACAACACGCTTGCCATCTGAGCCAATGTGCTTGTTTGTTAATATAATAGGCAAATAATATTATAAAGGAAACGCAGGCAATATCCTAAAAAATAAAAAAATGCGCGCAATTGATTTGAACGGACCAATGAGAGGAAGACACCTAATCGTCTTCTTCACTAAAACCTGGTTTTCTTACCTGCGGATTTTTATCCGCAGGAAGATCCGTAGCTCGCTCCCAAAACTCGTTCTAGGCCATAGAAATACCATCCAAGAACATGGATGTGATCGTCTCTGCCTCCTGAGCATCTCTATAACCACTATTTGACCCAATTTTTCCTGTAACTCAAACGCCTAAAACCAACACAAGAAAACCCTAGGTTCGGGCACATGATTATAGGCCATGAAAACGAAATTAAATAATGCAGACATGTTAGAAATTTGACATTAAGCATGATTATACAAAAGATTTGGCAAGAGAATGGATTTACGATGCCATGTTCAGAGCTGTGTTCGTGGACACTTACAACGCTATTCAGGAGGTCTCAAGGCCTAGTTTTGATTGATATCGCTTCAGGGGATTGCCAGCAAGAGAGCTATGTGGAGATTTGGCTTTGAATCGTGCTCTAAGTTGGATTTCAGATTCCAAGTTTTCAAGCTTTTTTTTCAATTTGGTTTGGCCGTTTCTTGCAGTTTTAGGTCATGTTCTTGCTATGCCTCATTTGTGTATGTATATTGGAATGCATTTAGGTCAAAACTTGGGCTTGAATCCATAAGAATTGATGAATGGAGATT